TGAAATTCAAAGGTGTTCTCAAAGCTGTGTGGCCTTCCTGCTACAACCTTTTAATCCAAGTCACACTTCCACTCCTAATAACAAATATTTCAAACTGTCTTCACTGCTCTCAACTTTTCCCACTGCACCCCAATCCTTTCTCTGACTCTCAAGATGAATAACTTTTCTTTCTGTCTTACAAAGAAAGTTGAAGTGAAATGATGGAAAGCCCCACCATCAATTTCCTGCTACCCAACAACTGTGCAAATGCAAAGGCTTCTGTTTGAATCTATCCTCTTCTGTTTCTTACACCGAAACAGGGGCTTCTCTGTCTATGGCCAGTGCCATCGTCTGTGCCTTTTCCTGCCTTCTAACTCTAACCCTCTCTTTATTTATTTCATGAACATCCTACTGCATTCTCCTACCTGGAATTTACATTCCCTCCAACATTCTCATTCTCATTCTTCTTTATCTTTTAATAAAGCTTTCAACTGCTCATATATTCCTTATCCAACTTCTATTTTAAAGCTTTCCTTCTTTCAAAACCAAGCTTCTTATGAATGATGACAATCCTTGGTATCTTCATTTTCTCACTTCCCACTTACTTCTCAACCCACTCCAATCTAACTTTGATCAAGCGGCAAACCCTCTTATGTCCTTTCTGCTTTAAAATTTTCAATGTTAGTGCATTGCTCTTAGGATAAACATCCCAATTGTCAAAATGACTCAGAAGACTCTAGACAGTCTTGTTGTTCCTGGGGAGATTTCCAGCCACATCTTGCACTACAGTTTTCATTTCACATGACCATCTTCTTTTGGTTTCTTACATATATTGCAGTCTACTCTTTGCATCTGTGGGTTCCATACTACTGGATTCAACAATGGCAGACTGAAAATATTTGGGCAAAAATATCATCTGTACTGTAGACTTTTTTTTGGTAATTATTTCCTAAACAATGTGGTATTACAACTATTTACATTGTATTATGTATTACAAGTAATCTAGAGATGATTTAAAGTATATAGGAGGACGTGCATAGGTTATATGCAAATAATATGCTATTTTACATTAGAGACTTGAGCATCGTTTTTGGTATCCTGAGGAGTCCTGGAACCAATCCTCCACAATACTGAGGGATAATCATAGGTCACATTCCTATCTGACACAATCAAACTGTGTAACTGAGGAGAGTTTATGAGGTACTGTTTACAAGGGAGTTGATAGGGGATGATGAAGCATTTGAAAGCTTAGTTATCAAGAACATAGGCCCTTTAGATACAAGCAGGATTAATTACAGGTCTCTGAGATGCCACTAGCTGTAGCTATAGGATAAAGCTTTTTGAGTAACTTTACCCAATTGGAACTGTGCCTTAGAAAAAAGATCACAGCTATAGCCAACCCAAGGCCCATCAGGGAGAGAATCAGGAAAATAAATACCCTAAACAATTGACTAAAAGTAAGAAGCCAGAAGGCCAAGTATATGGTTGACAGATAGAGGTTAACCTTTTGGGGTACAAGGCAGGGTAAAGAAAGGTAAAGAGTGGATTAGGAAAAGCAACAGATAATTTCCAGCTCCTTCTTACCACAGCAATTTTGTACATGCTGCTCCTTCATTTGGATGCTGTTTTTGAAGGCTGATCATCTTCAACTAGTTCATTCTTCTTCATCCTTCAAACCTTGTTTTGTACAGAAGCTATTTTTAATCAAATGATAGGCCAAGGTCCTTCATTATGGAGGTGGGTACTTTTTTTCTCAGCACTTACCTCAGTTTGTAATTATCCTGCTATTAGTGTGATAATTTAATCAATGTCTGTGTCCTCCCTATGGTTCTATATTCCATGTGACTGGGGATTATGCCTGATTTAACTCATGGTGGAATCCCTAGGCCCTAGCACACAACACCTGGTATATAGTAGGAACTCACTAAATTCTTGTTGAATAAGTAAATATACTGAAAATGTATGCTATAGTCTGAATGCTTGTGTCCCCCACCAAATTCATCTGTTGAAGTCCTAACCCTTGAAGTGATAATATTAAGAGGTGGAGACTTGGGAAGTAGATAATGACATGGGAATCCTCATAAATGGGATTAGCACTCTTATCACAGAGGCCAAGGGGAGCTTGTTTGTTTCTTCCACCAAGTGAGGGTGCAGTGTGAATACACTGTCTATGAGGAAGGGGCTCTTACTAGTCAGCAAATCTGGTGTCTTGATCTTAGCCTTCCCAGTCTCCAAAACTGTGAGAAATAAATTCCTGTTGTTTATAAGCCACTCAGTCTAAGATATTTTGTTATAGCAGCCCGAAAGGACTAAGACACAGTGTAGCACTCTTAGTGGCTTGAGCTCTGGGGTCACCTTCTGTCCAGAGACTGACTGGGCAGCACCCATCACCACAAGGGCCTAGATGGGCTGAGTGCAAGCTTCCTAGCTTGGTAGCTTTTTGTTCTTTATCTTTCCCTTGCTATCAAAGAGGCTGGCTGTTCTCTCCAGGAATTCCAGGAGTTGCTCTTGTTGCCGGAGCTCTGGCCAGCCAGGGTTCAGTGCTTCAGCTAAAGAAAAGCCTCAGGACCTTCTCATTACTGGTTTATGTTTCTGTAACATCACTCTGTTTCGATGAAGGTCAGGATTGCTGGAAGCTTCCTGCCAGCCTTCTCTGTTTGGACCTAGGCAGAAGGCTTGCTGGGAGATCTTAGGGATCTGTTATTGAAGTGAAAAGTATGGCTCCAGAAAGGGCCAGGAGCGGCCATTGTGCACATTCATCTTCACAGCCAATTTAGCCTGTTGGTCACTGTCCATGACATGATAAGAATATTCATCTCCAGTGTGACTCCACAGCTGGTGAAGCACTGTCAACAGGTTTTGTAGGGAGACTTTATTCTTGCAGCTGCAATATTCCCTTTTCTCTAGTACCTCTTACCCAACTGGTGTCAGACTTCCACCAGCTCAGGCTCCAGCTTCACAGCCTTTGATAGAAATTCCTTAGCCATAGAGACACAGTCTGTAGTCATGTCCAGTGCCTTCCCAGTCAGCATCCCTGCTGCACCTTGACCTGGATTAAACCCACGACTTCTTCCATCTGCCACAGGGTCTTCAACATCTCCTTCAGGGTCTTCTGCATCTCTTCCTGCACATCCTGTTGCTTCCCCCCAGCATTCTCAACACTACGTGTCTTGAAATGAATAGAGCTGATCCACCAGTTCCTGCAGTTTCTCAAGATCTGCCTGACTTCTTCCTTTTCATTAGCCATCATTTCCCAGCTATCATGATTAATTAATTAATATGCAATCTGGTAAGTGCAGTGATTAGAAATGGATTTTTCTGTGAAGTTAATGAAGCTTAAGCTTCAGAACTCTCACTCCCTGGGCCTGTTCCAAGGCCCTGGCAAAGTGTTCACATGGTCATATGTTTTTGTAAAATATGCAAATATTAACTGTTTTAATCACACTCAGGTAAGAGCATACTCTCTCTCTATTCTGACTTCCCATGAATGTCACTTCTGCTTGTGTTAAATAACAGACTAGCAGTGGGCATTTTTGGGATTTCAATAAAGGGAATTGAGCTGAGGATGCATTATGTTTATGTGTTTTTCAGTTACTTTCATGTATATTGAAGCTATTGTTACTCATCTTGGTGTAGAAATGTCTTCTAGGAATTCTTGCATTGCTCATTATGCCAACTCACCTAACATTGGGACATGACAGGGCCAGTTTTAACTGGATGTGAATATATTCCACACTCCTGGCACAAAAAGAAAGTGCGTGGAGACAAAACAAGATTGGAAATGTATGGAGCCAGAAGCTAGTCCTCGGAAAATTCTTCCCATCGTTCAATCTGTAAGTGAAGGCTTTGATTCTCATTTATCTTCAGTTTAAATGGACGATGTTTAATATAAAATGACAACTGTATGTTATTTTTTGAGAAGAATCATGTGAAATAGAATTTATCAGAAATTCTGTGTTTGTAACAATACAGAGATTTTGTCTGTGTATAATGTAGCATGTTTTATAAAGCCCAACTATCAATAATAAAAAAAATTCTGATCAATTGTTGCATCAGAAAGATCAAATTCTATTCCTCCTCTCTCTATGAAAAGTAATGATACGAAATTATTGTTAAAGAGACGATAAAGAGTATGCAACCAACAAATAGGAAAACAGGCAGGAAAGGTATTCTAGAGAAATCAGGGCATTAATTAATGAAATATGTGTTTTTTTCTATATTTTGGATAGGTAGTATATTTTTCAGATTTAAAAAATCTGTATTAGAGTAATTTTTCCCTTTATAATAATAGTATCTTGGCATTCTAATTTTATATTTGTAATTTTGTATTCTTTTGCTTAAAAAGGGTCTTGAAAACTGTGCTAGCTTAAGGCCCCACAAGCCTGAGGCTGCACCCTGTGGTAGCAGAAGTAGGCATTAGGTTTTGAGGGAGTGTGTAGTTTCGGATGAGGATGTAAAGGACCAGGCGCGTTCTTACAGTGGGAGCACTTAAGCTGAGGTCTAGAGGCCGAATAGTTTTCTAGGGAAACTCTCCAAATTGCTGACAGGCTTGCCCAAATAATGGAATTTCTTTTTAGTTTTATACTCGTAGTAAGCACGTTTGGTTTACAGCTTCCTCCAGGAGGTTTGTTGCCATTGTTATGTGTGGATGTCATCACTTTATAACAGGTTGGGGAGAGAGGATGTTTGGTATGGGCTCTACGGGACCCTGTGGATTGATTCTGAGCTGCCTACAAAGAGAGTTAGCCAGGAACTGGTGAGACCCCAAGGGTGTTTGAGCCTCTAGGCACAAACAGAACTGTTTCAGAGCTTAGGTGACCATTGTCCTGCATCTGCATGGATCCAGCTTTATTCTGTCATGTCCTTTGGCATGGACAATGGTATAACCTTGACGGTTGGCAGGGGCAGCTAGGATGTTTCTCTGAGTGGCTGAGCAGTCTGCAGAGGTGGAAAAGTGGGAAACAGTGGCGTGTGGTAGTCTATTTTTGCATTGCTATAAAGAAATACCTGAGGCTGGGTAATTTATAAAGAAAAGAAGTTTAATTGATTCTTGGTTCTGGAGGCTGTACAGGAAACATGGCACCGTCATCTGCTCAGCTTCTCAGGAAGCCTCAGGGAGCTTTCACTCATGGTGGAAAGTGAAGCAGGAGCAGGCATCTCACATGGTGAGAGGGGGAGCAAGATGTGGTGTGGGGGGGTTTGTACCACACTCTTTTTAACGACCAATGTGAGCTCAGAGCAAGAAATCACTCATTACTGCAATTTCCAGGATTCTTAGGGTGGATGGTGAGGCCACCAACTGAGATAGAACTGAGATTCCCTCCCATGACCCAAATACCTCCTACCAGTCCCCACCTCCAACACTGGGGATGACAATTCAACGTGAGATTTGGAGGGGACCAAATCGAAACCATATCACAGAGCCAAAGTGAAAGGACAAAGCACATCTAGCCTTGTAGTGAAGTCAGCTGGCAGACTGGTTGTTGGTTCATTTATTTACTCAATAAATATTTACCGAGTACCTATTATGTGCCAGATCTTATTCTAGACTCTGGGACTACCATAGCACATAAAGTATATGAAATGCCTGGCTTCTATGGAATACATGGGAGACATCCCTTGGGAATGACAAGAAATAACAAATAGAACTTACTGCGGGAAGGAGGAGTGAAGAGGGGTTGAGGTTAAGCAATCATAGGTATGGGCCACTAAGGCACTGGATTTTCAGTTTCCAAATGTTATAATTAAACTTAGTGCAAATTATGCATTGTATTCTATTATACAATGGTGTTTATTTTTATATAAAAATGAAGTGTGCCCATCCAAGTCTGAGAAAAACTGATGTTGTGTGTAACCAGGAAGATATGTTGTATATAACCATAAACCCCTGCTATGAGCTTTACAGTTAATTGAAGAAGAACTATTTGAAGATTTTCAAACAAAAAAATGATTGAATCAGATTTGTGTTTATGTAGCTCACTCTTCTTTTTTTTTTTTTTTTTTTTTGAGACAGAGTTTCACTGTTGTTACCCAGACTGGAGTGCAATGGCATGATCTCGGCTCACCACAACCTCCGTCTTCTGGGTTCAAGCAATTCTCCTGCCTCAGCCTCCCAAGTAGCTGGGACTACAGGCGCGCACCGCCACGCCCAGCTAATTTTTTGTATTTTTAGTAGAGACGGGGTTTCATCATGTTGACCAGGATGGTCTCGATCTCTTGACCTAGTGATCCACCCGCCTTGGCCTCCCAAAGTGCTGGGATTATAGGCATGAGCCACCACGCCTGGCCCACTCTTACTTCTTTACTGGGCTTGAAGGAAGAAGCCAGGGTGACTAGTTAGGGACTAATGCAACATTCCAGACTAGAGAGGTTGAGGATTAGAGGCAGAACTGGGGAGACTGGAAGGGAGGAGAAAGGACAGAGTCAAATAAGACTTAGGAAGTAAAACCAGCAGAACTTGGAAACTGAGCGCATGGGAGTGGAGGTAGGAGTTAGAGAAATTGAGGACTATTTCTAGGATCTTTAGGGTGAATGCTGAGGCCACCAACTGAGATAGGACATAAAGGTGGAGGAGCACATTAGGGATCAAACAATGAATTCACCAGCCTGGGTCACACAGTGAGACCCTGTCTTTAAAAATAAAGAAAAACTAGACAGGTGTGTTGGCGCATGCCTGTAATCCCAGCTACTGGGGAGTCTGAAGTAGGAGGATCACTTGAGCCCAGGAGTTCAAGGCTGAAATGAGCTGTGATTGCACCACTGCACTCCAGCCTGGGCGACAGAATGAGACCCTGACTACAAAAAAAAAAAAAAAAAAAAAAAAGAATTCAGTGTTGGATATGCTAAGTTTGAGATGCCTATGGATATTTGATGGGAATGACCATCAGATAGTTTGATTTTCAAGTTTGCTGGGGGAAGTGCTGTGGGCTAGAAATAAATATTGGCAATTATTGGAATGCAGGTGATGATTTGAGCAGAAATAAGGGATGAGATTGCTGAAGAGGAGTAGGGAGATTGAGATTAGTCCCCCAAGGGTGGGACACAAGGGTACTATATATATAACCGGTATAGTGTGGTCAGAGGAATGGGGCTCTTCAAAGGTATGTAGGAGGGGCCCAGAGAAGTACAAGAGCCGTCTCTGTCATCCTCTTCTGGTGTGAGCATATGTGGAGTTGCTGAGCCTCCTTAATTCATTCAAGAAATATTTATTAAATATCTCTGGATATGCTGTAACATTCCCCACTAATTACTTGGTGACTGGTGTCAGATGTCCAGATGGTTGTATTGTTGAAAATATGTATGCTTAACTCCTTGGTGGGAAGAAATGGCTCTAAATAAGGTCCCATGGCCCACAGCAGGAAGGCCCAAGACATTGAGCATGAAGTCAGCAGAGCCATTGTGATGAGCGACCAGATGGGGATGCGGGATGAGGGGTGTGGGGGCAAGCAGGCCAGCCTGAGGGAATGCCACGTGTTGGACGCTGGAGACATGCTGTGTTGCTTCTGTCACAGAGCCACCAGCAGCATGCCTGGTGCTTCGCTGGCAATCATGCCTCCTGCATGAGAGCCTGAATCCCTGCTTAAGCCATGAGGCTGAGACTTGCTGGTTTCCTTTCCCAAAGCAGGCTTCACAATCTGTTCAGGGCTGTCTCGGTGCTTGGAAGGAGGCGGAGGAACTGGGATTCACCGTCTGTGAGGGTATTGCAGGGAAAGAAGGAAGAGTGTTCTGTTTTTGAAGAATGATAAGAAAGAGAAAATTTCATCATTTTACAAGTGGAGTTTAATTCATGTACTAGATAAGAGGACACCTCACCTCTGGCAAGCATCATTAATTTACTCCATCAAATATGTTCATAGAAATCCTAAGGTTGATAAAATTCTCAAACAGAAAATGTTAAAAGATCTAAGAAAAATTATAATGGCCTTAGCTATAGGGCCTAAATAATTAAGAATAGTCTCAAAGGCATATGGAACATCAGAGAAAAGTTATGGATATTTTTGTCTGTTAAAGGAGAAAATCTCAAGAGGAAGATGGCTTTTAAAATAGAAATGGCAAGTGAGCGCTTGTCGACTCAATTGTAAGCACCTGTCCAGTTTTGTTTCCTGCCCCAGACTCCTTTTAAAAACATTGTAGGGCAAGTGGCCAAGAATCTGCCGCTTTAAAATGCATTCACCTGATCCTCAAGCACTTGTGGTATCGGCATTGTTATCTGTATTCTCAGATGAGAAAACAGAAGCTCGGAGAAGTAGTGTACTGTGCCCTTTTGTCAAAGCTGCTCTGTGGCAGAAGTGAGACCCTCAAGCCGGATCGCAGGGCTCGTGCTCATCTCCATGCTCTTCTACAGCAGCTTCCTTCTTGATGCACCCCACTTGCCATGGTAGAATCCACTATCTATTTGGATTTTGAGGCCATGCCTCCTGATCAGTTTTATATCTGAATCAAGAACTGGGTTATGGGTACGCCATGAGATGGGATGGTCAGAATGCCCTGGTGGTCTCACATACTGCCTTGATGAGGGTAAAAGTGGGACGGAGAGAGGATACAGTTTATGGCTCATCTTACTTATTGTTTATCTCCACATAAAGGTCCAGCGTCAGAGGTGATGAGTAGGAGGTGAGGTGGAGGGGAGCAGGGTCCCCCTCTCAGCTGACCCAGGCACTGAGACTCCAGCATTGGGTGACACAGGAGCAGGATCAGGAAGACAGACACCAGAGCATGTTGTACTGTGTTCCTTACGAGAAAATAGGCCAAGGCCTCTATTCAGTCTTTGAGTTGAATCAGAGAAGGCAAAAATCAGAATACATAAGAAAGTATGTAACTTAATTTCAGCATTCAACGTAAGTACAGCTCATTCCCATTGGAAAATAAGATTTTACTGACAGCTTATATGGTGTAGCTAATTTAATTACATCACCTGCTTTCCCTGTTAGTGACAGCATTAGGGGGCGGGATGATGGCATTCGGAGATTTCTCTGGGTCGACTGATCTTTCTTTGAATTTTATGTTGTCTTGTCTCTTTGCAGCAGCCTCCCCGCCCCCGCCACCTTTATAAAACAATTTTTCAATATTGTTACAGAAAGACAAATTGTGAATGGAGTTTAGGCCTGCCCTCGGTTCCCGACACATGAACTGTGTATAAAGTCGGCTGACTGTGAAGTGTTCAGTTTGGAAAGTTACTATCCCATGAGCAACATCGTCAGGATACACAGGCCTTGTTTTCAATGTTAAGCTTGTGGCACAAGTTTCCTACTGCCCTATGGAAATTCCCTTACTACAGATTGCGTGACCTGCTTAAGTCATGATGCATTGTGGGTGAATAATTTTCTTCATTTTACTCTTTTTACTGCCCTTGTAACCCTTCAGGGTCTTGAAAAAATACGGTCTGGTAGATTTTTTCTTTTGTTTCTACTGTAACACTGAATACATAATGTGATTTTGCAGATCCTGTGGCAAGAGATTGGCTGGCTTCCATACTCATTTAAAAATCACTATTGGTGCTTCTGCTGGAGGGGTTTTCAATTCACCATCTCTAATCTGCCCTTCTGAAAGATTTAGTGACCAGATGTCCAGGATCAGTGAGAAAGATCCTGTCTGCCAGAGTCAATATTTTTTTTCCTATCATCCTGCTGGCCTAGGGACTTGAAAATCCCCATCAGGCATAGCGAGCTGTGGATGTCTCTGGTAGAAGTATTGTTAACCAAATTCGAGTTTACTAGACTAGCCCAGCTCTAATATCGATAAAACTCCTTTTATGTTTTCATCTTTATTTAATTTTTTTTAAAAAATTACCTTTCTTTTTTTTTTACCACCTTTTCTATTCTGCATTTCAAGTCTGGTCATGTACTCTCTTATCTTTGACTTCATTCCTTTCCATCTGCAGAGGTATTTCTACTGTGATACCACTTTCTCTACTTGCTTGATGTAACCTTGCCAAGTAACTGATCTTGTTACTTAGAGTGCGGTCCTCAGGCACCAGCATCAGCATCACCTGCAAGCCTTTTGGGAATGCATGATCTCAGCCCTCACTATGGACCTACTGATTCAGAATCTGAGTTTTCACAAGATCCCCAGGTAATATGGATATGTGTTAAAGTTTGTAAAGCTTTGCTCCAATGTATGGCCTTGCAAACTCAGTCTTTTCTAGAAACCTATGACATGGAGGGCATAGTTACAAAATATTTTTCACTCTCTCGATGTCCTGGGGTAACTACTGACACTTGCAACTGGGGAGTGGAATGCCAGAGGAGAGAGTGCTCAGCTGCATTGGAACCATGCTTCCAAGGCAGGTGGTCCTGCCATGGCTCTGGACAGGTGAATGTCCTGCTTTTCCTTATCTGCACCAATCTGATGCCCGCCTCTCTCATACTTGCACAGCAAGGAAATGAAGCCACTGCAATATGAAGATGTATTTCAAATGACAAAAAGTGTCACTTTAGAGCAAGAGTCCACAGAATGAGGGGGAGACAGATGTCTCAATTTCAGCTGCATGTACTAAGTGACATATTTCACGAGGCAACCAGATGTCTCCATTTCATCCGTGTAACAGTTGTTCCCCATGAGACAGGTAAGTGGGTGAGCAGGAACCACAGCTCTGGGACTGGCGAGTGTCTCAATGTGACAGCCTTGTCACAGGAGGCACAAGGTTCTTCATTGTTTTTTTCAAGTTAACATGTTTCAACAGTTATATAGTTACACTTTTTTTTTTTTAAAGCTACAGAAGCTTAACAGAAATTTATCATGGCGATGCACCTCTCACTTAATATGAAGTATATAGGCACATGAATCTTCTGGGAATCATGGTGAAAATGTAGATTCTGATTCCAGAGATCTAGGATGGGGCCTGAGGATCTGCATTTCTTTCTTTCTTTCTTTCTTTCTTTCTTTCTTTCTTTCTTTCTTTCTTTCTTTCTTTCTTTCTTCCTTCCTTCCTTCCTTCCTTCCTTCCTTCCTTCCTTCCTTCCTTCCTTCCTTTCTTTTTCTTTCTTTCTTTCTTTCTTTCTTTCTTTCTTTCTTTCTTTCTTTCTTTCTTTCTCTCTCTTTCTTCTTTCTTTCTTTTCTCTCTCTCTCTCTCTTTCTTTCTTTCTTTCTTTTTTTTGAGATGGAATCTCACTCTGCTACCAAGCTGGAGTGCAGTGGTGCAATCTTGGCTTACTGCAACCTCCGCCTCCAGGGTTCAAGCGGGTTCTCCTGCCTCAGCCTGAAGAGTAGCTGGGGTTAAAAGCTTGTGCCACCATGCCCAACTAATTTTTGTGTTTTTAGTAGAGATGAGGTTTCAACATGTTGTCCAGGATCATCTCCATCTCTTGACCTCGTGATCTGCTGGCCTCTGCCTCCCAAGGTGCTGGGATTACAGGCATGAACCACCGTGCCCTGCTGAGGGTCTGCATTTCTAACAGGCTCTCAGGTGACTCTGATGCTGAAACTATGGTAAGCTCTTGCCTCTTCTCCAAACAGGAATTTCAAACTGAGGAGCAATTAGCTTTTCAAATGCAATGGCACTTGGGCTACTTTTCCATTTGAGAATGAGATCAGGAAGATTTTTTTGCGTTTTTTTTCAATATTTTATTTTTTATTAACAAATAATTTTACATATTCATGGGGTACATATTTTGATAGATTTAGGAGTGTCATTGCAGTGGTGCGCTTTCTTTTTCAAAATCAAACTACTGATCTCTTGTTACCGTATATTCATTCAGCACAGGAAAGACAAAAATACATCAGCCTTCAGTCCCTTTTGCTTCCAATCCATCCAGCAGACTGTCACCAACATAATCTTCCTGAAACACTGCTGTCACCATGTCACTTCCCTGCTCAGGAATTTACAGTCATTTCCTTTTTCCGATTAGACCAAGTCTAAATTCATCTGCCAGGCTTTCAAGGACTCTCATAACTTGGCTCACTCTATTTATTCAATCTTATTTTCTTCCCCTCCTCAGCCAGTACTCCCTGTCACTCAGACCCGCCTCTGTGCTGCTTTCCTTCCACTGCCAGACTGTGCTGTACTACAGCTCACCTGAATCTGCTGTTTCCGTAGCAGGATTCAAGGTCTAACGTTCCCATGACATTGTCTCTAATTTTTTAGATTGCAATGATCACATCTTTCTTTGAATTTCTATGGCCAAACAATTCAGCACTTAATTTAGAGTTATTTATTTATTTATTTGAGATGGAATCTTGCTCTGTTGCCCAGGCTGTCAGGCTGGAATGCAGTGGCGTGATTTCAGCTCACTGCCACTTCTGCCTCCCAGGTTCAAGTGATTCTCTTGCCTCAGCCTCCTGAGTAGCTGGGATTACAGGTGTATACCACCACACCCAGCTAATTTTTGTATTTTTTTTTTTGAGACTGAGTTTCACTCGTTACCCAGGCTGGAGTGCAATGGCACGATCTCGGCTCACCGCAACCTCCACCTCCTGGGTTCAGGCAATTCTCCTGCCTCAGCCTCCTGAGTAGCTGGGATTAAAGGCACGTGCCACCGTGCCCAGCTAATTTTTTGTATTTTTAGTGGAGACGGGGTTTCACCATGTTGACCAGGATGGTCTCGATCTCTTGACCTCGTGATCCACCGACCTTGGCCTCCCAAAATGGTGGGATTACAGGCATGAGCCACCGCGCCCGGCAATTTTTGTATTTTTAATGGAAACAGAGTTTCACCATGCTGGCCAGGCTGATCTCGAACTCCTGACTTCAGGTGATCTGCCCGGCTCGGCCTCCCAAAGTGCTGGAATTACAGGCATGAGCCATTGCGCCTGGTCCCACTTAATTTAGATTTAAAAGTGCTTTGTGTAGGAGGTTGAGTAGCATCCCCCTCAAGATTTATGTCTTTAGAATGTGATTTTATTTGTAGATAGAGTCTTGGCAGATGTAACTAATTAAGATGAGGTCACTTGGCATTAGTGTGAGCCCTAAATCTGGTGTCCTGATAACAAGAGGAAATAAGAGAAGACATACAGGGAAGAAGGTTATGTGAAGACAGAGACGGGAATTGGAGTGAAGCTGCTACAAGCCCAGGAATGCCAGGAGCCACCCTGGAGGAGGCAAGACAGGATCTTCTCCTAGAGCTTTTGAGAGGAGTGCGAACCTGTCAAGACCTTTATTTTGAACTTCTAGCCTACAGAACTATGGAAGAAGAAATCTCTGTTATTTTAAGCTACCGAGTTTGTGGTAATTTATTAAGGCAGTCCTAAAACACACTTGGTATTAATTTTTATCTAATGTATGCATGGTAGCTTTAGCTCTTTACATGTGAAGTCTCTACAGAATAGGGCCCCCTGTGCTCTTCTAATATTCCCTGGAATGGTTTACATAGGACTAAAACAGTAATGTAAAAATATCTATTTTTTTTGTATTTTACTTTTGTTACTGAGATATGTCATGCATCCTATAAAGTGCAAAAATCCTAAGCGTCGAGCTTATGACTTACAAAAACCCGCCATAGTGGAATTACTACCCAGATCAATGTAAAAGACATCCACAGCACCCCAGAATCCTCCCTTGCACCTTTCCCCAGTTAGAACCACTCGTTGAACTTCAATTGCCACATTAGTTTTGCTTGTTTGTGAACTTTATCTGAATAAATTCATACAGAGGCTTCTATCAACCCTGTGCTGTGAGGTTCATTCATCTTTTTACATCTAAGAGTTTATACTTCATTAAAAAAATTTTTAATGGTGTTATAAAATGGCAATTTATAATTGTGTGTATTTATGGAATACAGAGTGCTTATGACATATGAATACAAAGTGGAATAACCACATCAAGGTAATT